TTATATATAAGTGTAATTATATAGTATTATATATAAGGTATAAGTATATACAAGTATATTATCTTTAAGCTAGTAAAATATTTTTCTTAATAAATTCACTTATATTTATATTTAATCTTTAATATTTCTATTAATTAGTTATAATTATAGTATTCCCTTAAAATAAGAATTAACTAATACCTAGTATTATTTAGCTTATTTAATTACCTTTTTAGGTGCCTTTTTAGCTATTATTTATTTAGTGCTTTTTTTAATAGTATTACTTATATTTTCTTTCTTATTTATATCCCTTAAAATCTTATTAATTTCCTTAATTCTTTTAGAATTTTTTAATTTATAAATTATCTTCTTATTCTTATATAAAGCGTTTTTATTAGTATTTATTAGAGTCTTTATATTATTCTTTAAGTTCTATTAGATTTAATTATTAAAGGTTAAAACGTATAACTTACTTAATTTAATTATATAAGTTATTTTACTAGGTTAAAGATAATATACTTATATACACTTATATCTCTTTATATAATACCACGTAATAGCATTTATATAATTCACGTAACTTTATTATTTTATTTATAAAAGAATAATTCTTATATTTAATGATAAATTAAGAATTAAAAAAAAGATTATCTTCTTATATTAATTAAACTTTCTTAATTAAATAATTACTTTAATTTTCTTTAAACTATAACCGTAATTACCGTTATATATAATAATATAATTAAGTTATTATAAGGTTTAACTACCTTAGCTAATATTAGTAAGCACCTTAAGATACTTTATAATAGTAAGGACTTACAAGTAGTTTATATTACTTTATAACGTTAATTAATAGGTGTAAAGCTAGGCTTTAATATTAAAACTATTAATAAAAGAAAGAACTTATTAATGTATATTATATATAACTATTTTAAGTTTTTAGAGTTAGTTACTAGTATAAACTATATTTAGGTTTAAGTTTTTAATAGATTAAGTTTACTTTTATTTAATTAATAGTTTAAGCTATTATAAGGTAGCTTTAAATAGTATACGATAATAAATTACTAACTGTAAGGTAGTTAGGGAACCCTGCTTACCTGTAACGTAATTAATAACGT